TTAATGTTCTAACCTACTAGTCATCCTTTAAAGATGTGAAATTTGCCACTGCCTTTTGTGCAATTTGCAAAAATACCAAAGAACTACAGGGTTTTTTCTATATATTTTTTGTCCATTAACAAAAATAATCAGGACAATTTCATAAATTACGCTAACCAATTATTTTCGATGATTGATCGGTTGTAATGAACCAATCATCAATTATGAGATTTTGACCAATTCCCAGCACTAATGTACATCTAGCAGAAATACCTTACTTTCCATACCGTGATGGTGACAATATTATACCCCGAGGTGAAAAGAAATCTCTGTCAAAAGCAGAGTCGATTGGAAGACACTTCATAGGATCATGTGATGTTTGTGCGACATACGGTATGCAACAACCTTAAGACAAAGGAATCCAAGATAAAGTAATTTCGGACGGTGGTCCTCAGTTCTCATAAAAAAATTCAAGGAAGTTTAATACCTATGGATTGGTCCTGTAAACAAGAAAATCTTATGGAGTAGCTGAAGCAGCTGTAAAATCTCACGTGAAAGCGTAATGCGAGTCATGAAGACCCATATATAGGACTTCTCAACCTTAGAATACCCCGACAGAAGGACTCGACACTGGCCCAAGTGAGCGATTGTCTGGAAGGAGGCCAAAACACTACTACCAACAGTGAAATCCAGCCTGAGTGTTCATAACAACCAAAAGATGCTTGTCAGTGGACAAACGCAAATCTGATATGGCTACATCTGGACCGGACTGTGGTAAATTCCTTTCATCGTTCACCGTACCGGGAATCCTCGTATTTAAGCCCTGTCGTTATTAAGCCCATGGGTTAAATAACGAGTGTTCATGTTCTTAAATTTGAAATTACTTTTATGGTGATCTCCCTTCCAAATGTTCACAACACATGTTTTTGATGGAATCACTTCGTTTATATATGCTGTTGGGGCTGTAATAGCGTTTCACATACATTAAACGCCAAAAGAAACGTTACGCCTGCCTTAGTAACGGAGGTACCTATCTTCAGCTGGCGTTTTGATGCGTGGACGCCCACTTCTTGGTCTGTCTACGGTGACCCAGTCTGACTGAAGCCCTGAATAAGTCTTAGAACCGTGATACGGTGGCATCCGAGGGCGTTGGCAGCAGCATTGTATGTCGACCTCATCTGCTCCATCCCAATGGCTCTGTCTCTCTCTTCAGCTGTTAATCGTGGCATATTTCTCGCACTTGTGTATCATATCGTGCATTCTAGTCTCTCTTCATACCCTACAGAATCATCCCACATGTGACATGGATGCAAATACCGCTTGAATATTGCTGCGTTTTGGCGATTCATATTGCTATGTGTACACAGAAAATGGAAAAAATGTTACTTTTCAAGCAAAAATGTTATCAAAGCTAATTTTAGATGTTCCTAAACACTTTTTCACAATACCAAAGACACGTTTTACTTGTTTTCACTAATGAAAATCAGCAGAAAATGTTTTTAAAGACTGTAATCACAGGAATGAATATTTTCCAATTGTACACACTCTACAACAGTTGTTTCTTGTTATAACAGTTGAAAAATGGTGACTTGAAATGGTTGATCTTTGTCTCAAAGCAGAATTTTATTTCAACGTGTCTTTTGGACATCTAAATCACTGTTGTTGGTTTATTTCCACATGGACGAAAATAGGACAATTCTGAAAAGGATCCATTTCACCTAAATGTGAATGAATTTGAGATTTTTTTTCGTGATTTGCATAAAGCTGTGTTGTTAAGCGTTCTTGTAAACTAATACCTTCTAACATATCTTTGATAGTTTTTCAGTAATTCATAAAGGTAGGAGGGTAACGTTTCTTTTGGCGTGTAGTGTATATCAAATGCATATATCACCCAATGTGACAATTTAAATGCGTTTGATCGATACGCAGTGGCTGTTGAGAGTAAGAGCGTTATTGTCGGACATATTCCAATTGAACAAAGCCAATTGTGTAACTTCTTCATTCGCTGAGGCGGTACAATTCAGGTGGAATTGTTAACAAATAAACCCTCAAGATCTAATTTGCCGCAAGGGGGACTTGAAATTCCAGCTGCCCTGGTCTTTATTGGTAATCATAAAGACATTAAAAAACTTTCAGCTGTATAACCTATTGTTGATGTGCATTTTTAGGAAACTATGGCACCTAGAAAGATATTTACGATAACGCAGAAAATGGAAGCTATGAGAAAGCTAAAAACTAATTTCAAACAATGACATGGCTAAAGTGTCTAAAGAGTTGAACATTGACAGGAAAAATCTCAGAAGATGGCTGAGTGAAGAGGAGCAGATGGTCAATAGTGATGGCAAAGGTAACAAGCGACAGATGGGCAATCCTGGTCGAAAAGCTTGAAGAAGCCCTCTTGATCTGGTTCAAAACGCATCGTGCTGAGAAACACATCGCTAATTACATGACTCTGAGAGAGAAGGGGCTAAGCCTTATGGACGAAATGTAGATCAGCAGAGATTCACTGAAATCAAGTGACAGATGGATTCTAAATTTCTGCAAAAGGCATGACATCTCGTCCAGGAAGATAACTCACCATGGCCAACAGGACAAGCGCAGCATGAAGATCCAAAGAATGATTAGTTATGACCATCTTCATGGCGTTGAGCTAGAATGTTTAATATGGATGAAACTCCATGTTGTATTGATATGGCTGGACAAACAACTCTTTGACTTCGTGGGATCGAAGAACGTTGATGGTCTCACTACTGGACAGGATAAGAACAAATTTACCGTGGACCTGGGCATTTGCATGGATGGTCACATTCTATAAGATATGGTGATCTTTAAAACTCTTGTGAATGTTCCAAAATGCAAAGTCCCCAAAATATTGAACTCTTTGTTTCTGTTTTAGAGCCCGAGGCAGCTTCTTTGCAACTGGACAGCCATAAGAGCCATAACACTGATGCCGTCATCGAATCTCTTAAATCCTTAAATGTCCCAGGCTAATCCCACCAAAACCCACGTCCGACCTGCAACCTCTGGATGTATCTGGCGGAGTTAACGCCCCATTCAAAGCTGCCATGCGAGGACAGTGGCAGAAATGGTTGATTAATGGTGGAAAAGAATTCCCCTTTTGCCGGCAACAGGAAAAGACCATCATACGAAGTTTTGCTGAACAAGTTGGGTTTTTTTTGTTTTTTTGGTTTTTTTATAACATGGTATCTTCAGATTGTGTGCTGTAGCTGTAAAAGCAGACCAGGTTCCACTGAACTCCAGGCTGCGTGATGTTCTTCATTCGCACTCAGGTCTTGTACTGCTAGATGAGGACCAAGCTGAGTGACGATCTTTTTGAGGATTCCAGTTCAGAATATGGTGATGATGATTGACAGATGAGGACCAGATGATGAAAGCTCAGTGACGAGTCGTTTAATGTGTTTTATTTTCATTCTAATTTCACTGCAACAGTTTTAATGTTAAAAGAGTTCTCTCAAATTACAATAGTAATGTTGAAAAGATAACTAAAAAAATTTCATGGAATAAAATTGGTTCCATTAAAAGTTAAAGGCAACAAACTTTTGTTGCATTTTACCTCCTCTCGAATTTAAGCCAGTTCAAGCCCAGGGCCTAATTTCAGAAAAAAAGATGTTTCTCAGATGAAATTGGTCAAATTCGAAATTAAGCCCAGGGCTTAAATACAAGGATTCCCGGTAGGACATTAAACCATTAAAACTGGATGAAAAGGAGTGGATATCTGCAACACTTCAAAAGCAGCTTGAAAGTCGAACTTCTCAAGTTCAAGGTGAAGATGGCACTCAATGTCAGCGATACAGACAATAGCCAGTGCAAGTCTCCAATAAGAAAAGTGTGACTCCTGAAAACCAGAACAAGAACTATGACAACAACTCTGTCACACGAGTCCTGAGAACTATACCAGCACATCTAGGAGAACAAGATGAATCTGGAACTGAAGCTTTTATTATCTACAATGATATAGGCTTATTTACATCCTGACAAGAATATATCAGGAAACAAGGGACTTTAATTTGATGGTTCATGTGTCAATTCAAGTCTAAACATATTTACTGGTGTGAAACTCATCCGTATTCATTCTGAACTTTCTTTGCAATGCATTCAATTAACCTACATGACTGCTATTGAGAAACTACTCTTCTTCCAAAAGGAGATGGGGGAGATGACACGTGGTTTCAGTTATCCATTCAGCCTGTGTGTTACGTTGGTTCTATAAATGAGTTGTCTTCCTTGAATCAGCTATAAATGGTGTCCTCTCGTGACTGAGCCGATCATGACTAAACGTAAAATTGGGTGTAATAAAAACATTCATTAGAATATTTAATTGAAGTGAACCAACATTGTTTGAGATTATCCGAAAGTCTCTGTTTAAACAAAGATATGAAATAATCAACATTGCCAACGTCCTGGCTGATCCATGCATAGCCAAAACCATACTAAAATAAAATATTTCTGACACAAGTTGCCCAAGTATTGTGGCTAGCATCATCTAAGGGCTTGAGCATAATATAACAATGTTTTGACAGTCTATTATAAGGCATATACAATATGTGACACCGGTATTTAATTACTTCAGTCAAATAAGTAATTTGTATAGGAAGTCTTCCACAATCACCAAGAGCCATATTATTACAGGTATATTTGCCAACTTTCAAGAAATATTTTCAAAAATATTACGGTTAGACATATATAAAATACAAGACTCAACATGTTACTCACGATTCTATATCTTGTTCTTGAAAACAGAAAAAAAATCATCAATCATGCTTTTTGTTAGTTATTTGGTATGTTAATAATCTCAAACATTTATCTGTAAACCATTGTGTTAAATTGTACAAACAATTTTTGACAATGTTTATGATAATTTACTATACTGACCAGCATTAGATTATTTACTGTGAAAAGGATCAAACTTTTCATCACTGAAGTGGACATTTGCATTTGTAAGGTTAGCATATATTCAAAATATATGTTACTGTGAATTTTGTTACAGTGAGATTACAACCATGGTTCACGAACAATGGCGCAATCAACTTGATTACTTCATCGCCCTTCTGGGATATGGAGTGGCATCAGGAGCATTCATCAGGTTCCCTTTCTACTGCATGCGCAATGGAGGAGGTAAGCCGTACCCAAATAATGCTTCGAAATATGTATCCCAAAACCAAAAAATATACACAGATTTGTTGAGCGTCTAGACGAATGATCCAGGGGCCACTTCTTAAGTCTGCTCAGCTTACGAACTAGAGGTAGTTCTTTTATATATCATGGTTATAGTGTTTACACTCTGACTTGTGTTGTAAAGGGATTTCAAACACTGCACATGCCCATTTAATGATGTGCAAACTGCCAAGAAGATTTTTAGAGTGGAATATGCCCAGGTAAAGCCACAGGACTTTGTTAAGAACTGTCTTGTGGGTACCGGATGGATACAGAGGCCTATCTTTGTGTGACTGCATGATCTCAGTGTGGACCATTCTAGGGTAAAAAATTGCTGTAAATGGTTAATTTTGACTTGGTTCTTAGTCTTGCGATGAGTGGGTGATTTACGATTTAAAGTCACATCGGCAGTATTTCAGTCATATCGTGACTAAAACAAGTTATGCATTCATAATACATAAAGTTAAATGATAGAAACCTGTCAACAATAAAAACAACTAAATTATCACCGATATAGATGTAAAACAAGTAAGTAAATATGAAAGGTTTTAACTATTAAAATAATACAATATTTAAAGAGGATATACATGTATATCACCAACAACTGAAGGTAGATCACCACACCAAGGACCAGGGAGCAAGTACTTCTGCTTCCTGCATGGACTACAGCTGGGTTTACACCATTACTTAAGCCGTTAACGATTGTGATATTTATATGTATTTACGAAATAAAGTTAACAAAACTTTTCAAACAATTCAATTTCCTTCAACAATAATTATTAAATCAATAATTGACCTGGGTGAAAAGATCCTTATGTCTTTTGCACTGAAATTTTGATCCATTGTGATAGAAAAATCAATACAGTCAAGCAGTACATGCTTGACCGTGAATATATTTCATCACAAGGGATACAGAATGGAGGATCTTTGCCTTTCAACAGGTGCTCGTGAGTATAACTAGAATGACCAATACGACATCGGCACATACTAACCTCTTCAAAAAACAACCCAAGGAGGCATAATCAACAGTTGGTTTCATGTAATTTATTGATACCTACTTAAGTGTTCCACTTCGTTTGCATTACATCGTACATGTAAGTTCTAACGATAGTTTTGTAATCAGTATAGGGAAGTAGAAGTAGTGTCACAGAATTGTTGAGTGCTGCTTTAGTTGCAGCATCAGCCATAGCGTTACCAGAAATTCCAACAAACACAAATGATGTCGTATTTGCCAACGGCAAGAACGTTAAATAATTCAATAATTTTTTTTCAAAGTGGATGTTAAGAAGACATGTTTTAAAAGCCTGAAGACGCGAAAGAGAGTCTTGAAATACGACGAACTGTGAGAATTTAGACTGGTTTCGTATATATACTAGGCAGCAAAAGAAACGTCAGTTTGGAATCTTCCTTCGCAGAAACGGATAACTGTAAACTCATTTAATGTTTTGATTGTATATTTTTGACAACATTACATTGCCAGCATTACTCAGACCAATGTGTTATGGAAAGAGACTCATGGGGAGTTTCTAGCATCATGGTATGGGGTGGAATAGGCCTAAACCAGAGATTGGGTCATGTAGTGTTCCAGAACCTTGGTCCATGGAGAGGAGGCCGCATCACAGCGGTGCGCTACATTGACCAAGCGACCACCTCCGTGGTGTAGTGGTTAGAGCGTCCGCCCGGAGAGTGGAAGGTCGCGGGTTCGATCCCCGACCGCGTCATACCAAAAGACATTAAAATATGGTACTTGTTGGTCCCTGCCTGGTGCTCGGCATTAATAGGTACAACAAGGACTGGTCGGCTCGGAGTCAGTGTAATGTGTCTGAGTGGGGTATTCATGCTTCACTGCGGCATGATATCTCAGTGGGCTAGCACTATAAAACCAGCTTAAGTCTGGGCTAGTACAAGCAGCCGCCCATACACACGCATGCACGTCGTCATATGAGCGAAATATTCTCAAGTACGACGTAAAACCCAATTTCACCTCACCTCACCTCACATCGACCAAGCTCTCAGACCCCACGTCATACCACATTTCGCACGTTACCGGAACAACATATTCCAGCATAATAACGCCCGGGCCCATACTGCCAAAGCTACACGGTACTTCCTACAGCAGAACGGTGTCAACATAATGAAGTGGCCAGACCTTAGTCCTGATTTAAACCCAATTCAAATTCTTTGGGATGAAATTCAGGGGAGACTGAATAATGTCATACCAAGGCCGAACACAGTCGATTTCTTGCGCTAGGCTTTTCTCAGAGTGTGGTTCCAAGTGCCAATGGCCTTCATCAATCGATTGGTGCACTCCATGCATAGACGCTGTGCTGCAGTTATTGCCGCTCGTGGTGGTCACACTAGATACTGAAGTCAAGAGTCTGAAATGACTGCAAACGTTCACGTAATGTTTTTAAATTGTGCTGAGTTATTCATTGATGTGTCAAGATATTGTAAACAAAAAATCTGTTTGATCCGCTTATTAGGTTGAGTTGGGTTGAGGTGGGCTTTACGTCACATCGGCATTATTCCAGCCATATAGTGACGAGAACAAGTGTGCATTAATAAACATTGTAAGTACATACTCGGAATGAGTTTAATTCAAAAGCATATATTCATTACATTGTCATTTAAAAACAGAAAAAGTCATAGCACTAAATTTAAAGGCAGGCAATTGTTAGTCACATTACACAGTTACAATTTATGATACAGATCAACTTCCCTCAGGTAGTTCACTATCAGATGAGCGCTCACGCGGGAGAACAGATCTTTCAGATTTGTTGCTTCATAATGTGAGTCCCTTGCAGTCGATAAGTCCACAGTCAAGCAGAATATGCTTGATGGTGAAAACCTCATCGCAAGAGACACAGATGGGTGGTCCATCCCCATCCGTTTTCAGGAGATAGTCATGAGTAAACAGACTGTGGCCAATACGACATCGTCGTAAAAATACCTCACCACGTCTTGACTGACAACCCAATTAGGTATAACCAATTGTTGGCTTCAGTACATACAGTTTATTTCTTCCTACTTGAGTGTCCCACCGTTTTTGCATGAGGTCCCGAGTACAGCTTTTTGATAGTGGATTTGAAATCACTGTACGGGATCAACAGTGGAGATAAGGGCTTGTCAAGAGCTGCTTTTGCTGCAGCATCGGCTTTTGTGTTACCTGCTATGCCGACGTGACCCGGCAACCAGCAGAGGACGATGTCACATTGGCCAGTAGAGAGGTCGTTGTAAAGTTCTAACATGTCCAGAATGATTGGGTGACTTGAAGTAACATTTTGAAGTGTTTGAAGGCAAGACAATGAATCTGCGAAAACGATGAAGTTTTTGGAATGATTCTGCTGTTTAATATAGGTCAAAGGTGAAAAGATAGCTTTGGCCTCGGTAGTGAAATGGAACTGTTGTCGGGAATCCTAGAGGAGACGGTCTTGGATCCAATGTAAGCCATGAGTCAGACAATTTTTCGGTACCACTCAGAGGGACCAAACACTTTCATGGTTTATTTAAGCTGTTATGGTCTTTACATATAAAAAAGTATGATGGCCATGTCGGTGTGGTAGTTCAAACTCAGAACGAGGCTAAGTCCAAGATGGCCGCCCAAAAAACCAACAGTTTAAAAAAAAGTCTATTCCAAGCTTTAATGGTGAGTAAAGTTTAGCAAATGGGTTGGAAATGAAAAAAAGGCAGGTACAATTAGTGCTAACATGATTAAAAGGATTTAATTAATATCAAGTTATGTTATTTGATAAATTTAAATCATATTTGTTCCTGTTTTTCAAGAGTCGAAATTGTAAGCTCAAAGAACATTTTCGAAAACTCATCATTTCATTTATTCTGAAGACAGCTCTTTAATTTCAAATAGTGAGAGCACCTTCAAGTTACTTAAATTGGTTTGTGATAGTCACTGTTCCGCATCATAAACGTTAGCTTCATCATCAGTGTCGCTCTTCGGCATGTCATGGTCCTCACATACCATCTTGTCAAAAAGTCTGGTTCCGACATGTCACAGTGCATTTCAGTCCATTGGTGAGACATTGACAACTTGGCAGTTTAAAGACTGTTGTGTACTTGCAAAAAATGAACCCAAGAACAGCTTTGGAGCAAGGGGTCTTGTCAGGAGGGTAGTCTGATCCCCTCCCCACTCTGTATTTGAAACGACTTTTAGTAAGTCCAGAGCCTTCAAGCACTTGGTTTGCAAATGTTTTATGTGTGGTAAGAATGTCAGGTGACGGTCGAAAATGAGTCCCAGGAATTTGACCTCTTCTACTACCTTAATGGGAGTTCCATCTAAAGATAGGTCTGGATCCTTGTGTGGTTTGTATTTACGACAAAAGTGAATACAATTTGTTTTGGTTTTGAAAACTTAAAGCCATTTTCATTGGCCCAATTTTTGGATTTTGCTAAGGCAGAGTTGTAGTTGTCTTTCTATTGCATGCATGTTCTTACCACGACATGAAATATTGAAATCGTCCACGAAAAGGGACCCATCAACACAACTGTTCAAGACGTTAGTGAGGCTGTTAATTTTGATGCTAAAAAGGGTGACAGACAGGATGCTGCCTTCCTTGAGGGACGCCCTGATCTTGGTGGAAATAATCAGACAATGTGGAACCTACCCGTACTTGAAATTGTCTGTTGTTTAAAAACTGAGATAGGAACTGAGGTAATCTGCCCCTCAATCCAAATTCATGTAAATCTTTTAAGATACCATGTTTCCACATTGTATCGTATACTTATTCTAAATCGAAAAAGATAGATACAGTATGTTGTTCGTTGACAATGGAATTTTTATAAAAGATTCCAGACGCACCAGATGGTCAATGGTACTTCGTTTTTTTCGGAAACCACATTGGAGGTCACTAAGCAGGTTATTGGTCTCCAAGTACCAGATTAATCGATTGGAGCGGTGGGGTAGCCTAGTGGTTAAAGCGTTGGCTCGTCACGCCGAAGACCCGGGT